CATTTTATGTTTTACAAAATGCTCTCCTCCCAACAACCCTGTGATGCAGGTAATTCAAGTATCATGGGATTATATATCTAGAGCTAGGAGGGAATATGAAGGTCATCTCTTCCAGTCCCCTCATTTTACTGATGTAGTAACTGGGACACAGAAATTAAGTCATTTGTCCAAGGACAAACAGGTTACAAATTTGGGCTCAAACTCAAGTATTCTGGCACTCAATCCAGTGCTCTTTCCAAGTGGAGAAAGGCTTAGACATGCTTTCAGAAAGCTCAGAGCCTGTGGCCGTTACAGGGAGGCACAAAAACCCTGAATATTTTAGGAGCCCTGAGAGTATCTCCATAGAGCCCAGAAAGCCCAGGCTATTAAAAAAAATTTCATGTTAATCCTCTGGTACCTGTGCCAAAGAGGCAGCTTAGGGGAATGAGTAGAAAGCTGACCAAGTTGGGAAGACTTGAATTCAAACCCTGCCTCTGGGTAGCCATGGGAAAACTGCTTACTTTTTAGTGCCCCAGGAAGCTCTTGAAGACTCTCAAGTTGCAAAGCAGGTATGATTCTTCATTGGAAAGAAGTTTCCACATTGGGAGGTCCCTATATCATGGAATCATAGTTCTAATTTTTAAAAATCTCTGTTGAAGGAGTCAAGGAGGTATAATGCATTTTAGGAATGTGGGTTTTCATCTAAAAATGGTTAAAATAATCATAGTTGGTATGCTTAAAAGAAGAAACCAGTTATCCAGAAAATTCACTTAGGTGGAATTGTTCCTTCCCCAATCACTGTGAGACATAGCTCATAAAAGTTAGTGCTGGAAGGGACCAGATAAACAAGGCATTACTGTATTTACCTTATAGCTAATTTTGTATTGTTTACAATCCAATTAAAGGGATGAGTAAGAAGGATATTTGGAATCCGTGTCAGAAGTGAAGTATAAAAATAAGGCAATATACCCCAGAAATGGGGCAACCTCACTTTGGCGCCTCCATTTCTGTTCATCTCTGACTTCCCAGTTTGATACACACACACATGCACGCCCTAAAATCAACGTATAGAGGTTGGACCTGATTTTGAGGATCTTACAGATGAGGCACCATGTTAGAGCAAGTGCTGTCTTACTGTCCTCGGTCAACAAATTGGCCTGTTCCCTCTCCACTGCCTATAATTCTTGGGAGTTTGTGCTTTAAATCTGGGTCAATATTTGCCCTTAGTTAGTAGGAAATTTCTCTTTAAAAGAAAGTCACCACCAAAGTGTACTAAGTGCCTACTCTTTCTAGAAAGTTTTATCAGTCTATACAGTCATGCCCTATTAGTCACAGTAGTGCAGGGCAATAGAAGAGAGCTGAAATAGATTATTTTTGAACATCCTCTCCATCTCTGAGGCCTTTGACATGCAACAAAAATAGGTGCTCCTGACCCTAAATTTTTTTCTATCAACTTTTGGCCTCAGAATAATACTGAAACTAGGAGGTACCTTTGAATCATAAAATGTTTGATGTGAAAAGGACCTAAGAGGAAATTTTGTCTAGCTTCCACATAAGATAAAGAAGCTGAAACCCAGAGAGAAAGAGAGAGAAAGAGAAAGTGATTTGCCCAAGGTTGCAGGCCCAGGTCTTTTGATTCCCTGTTGAATGACTCTCCTGTGGGCTTTCTAGAGCTCATAGTTCATTTCTTACCACACCACAAGAGTCATGCTTATGTACCACTCTTAGTGGTACATTGCCAGAATATCCTCTCAGCTCTGGCCCAATGGTAGGAGGGCCCTGTGGGTAGTTGCAAGCAATCTTCTCATAGATAATGAAAAAATTTCTATATCACAAAGTGAGAAAATTATGTGACCGATGGAAGAACATATATTTTATTTGGAAAATGAAAGTATTTTCTTGTTGAAATCTAGAAATGGGCTTTGTCCTAAGTCACGTGGGCTTTTTAAATTGGGGTTCACCACTTGGGTGAAACAACTTTTGCACTGATGACACAAAATATATAATTCCATTCTAGGTTTTATTCTTATGTCGATACCCATTTTTGTACAATTGTCTTTGGAACACTGTAATCCAAACACTGTCCAAATTTCAGGATACCCAAAGGGCAAAAAAGCATCCTGGCTACAAACTCACTTTCCCATTAACTCACACTGCAAAGCAGGGACAGCATCTTTTCATCAATGGTCCAAGTGGAGAAGCAGCCTCAAGGAAATGTATGGTCAGAAAAGGAGGTGGGTCAGTCATGTTAGAGTAAGAGATAACAGATGGGCATCCTGAGGACTGCTCTGGTACCAACAGAAAGTTCAAAGATCTAGAGGAAGGTCCCTGGCCTGTGGAGGATGTAGTAGAGAATGTAGATAAGCTCACCACACAGGGAGAGAACAAATCCTCTTGTCTGTATCCTCTCTCTGAGCCTCTACAGAGGCTCAACCCCACCTGCTGGCCTTTCAGGCACACTGTGGTATGTCCCAGTGGCACACAGATCCATGCAATTATTGAAACATTATTTCCATATAAGTATTTTTTTATGCTTGGAATTCTCTCCTTCATCTCTTCTTCCTTCAAGGCCTAATTAAAATCCCACCTTCTCTGAGAAGTCTTTCCTGATCACTTTTAATACTATTCCCTTTCATTCATTATCTCCAATATAGTTTGTCTATATATCTTGTCTGTACATTGTTATTTCATGTTGTCTCCCCTATTAACTGTAAGCTTCCCAAAAGCAGGCATTTTTTGTTTTGTTTGTATCCCCAACAATTAGGGTAGTGCTTTACACACAGTAAGTGCTTAATAAATGCATACCAACTATAAGAGTGTTTGTAGGCCACTAAGCCAAAGGCATACATTGCTCTCTAATTAGACTCAACAAATATCTACTGTGTGCAAGGCATTGTGCTAAGTATGGGAGGATAATTTATCCATCTTTTGAGTCAGTGAGGCAACTGAAAGGTAAGCAATTAGAGGAAGGAGGAATAAAAGAGGTATTGGGTCATTTGCCTCTGGTAATTGAAAGGTGACTAGAAAAGGCCCTCTAATTTCAGGCAGGTATCCCAAATGTGTTCAAGTGCATGTGTGTGTGTGAGTGTGTGTCTGTGTTTGTATGTGGGTTTTAATCCTGGCTTTCCCATTAACTCACTTTCCCATTAACTCACTAGCTTTGGCCTCTCTGGGCCTCAAGTGGCTAGAGAGGATGGATCTCTCTTCACTACAGAGAGGAGCAAGAAACATGAAAAAGGAGTGAGGAGGACCAGAAAGATGACAACCAATTAGAAAGAAGAGACAGCAAGCAGAAAGTAGAACAGAGGAACAGAGAGGGGAAAGAATGGGAGGAACCAGTTTTCTTCATTAGTGAGAAGTCCTCTAGGACAGAGGAGGAGAAAAGAGGAGTACTAAGGCATATTGGGCAGAGGGACGGACAATAAAATGTTATGAAGTCATAGCAAATAAAAACAGACTCTTTTCCTTTGGAAAACTTTAGAAAAACTCAGAACTAAGACATTAGAGGCCAGACCTTGGAATACAGGATGTTAGAGTTGGAGTGGACCTTAAAGACCATTCAATTAAATCTCCTCGTTTAAAAAATGAGGAAACTGAGGCTCATAGAGTAGAAACTAACTTACTTAAGGTTGTACAACTTGAGATCCCAATCCTTTACTACTCCACCAAAATGCCTAGAAAAAATGTCATCACTTGGTGGAAGGGAGGGGTGGAAAGAGAGGGAGGCAGGGAGAGAGAGAAAGACATGTTGTATACTTGGAGACAGTAATACCTGGGTTTGAGCACTTCCCTAGCTATATGACCATGGGGAAGTTAACTAATCTGTCTGAGCCAGTTTCCTCATTTGTAAAATTTGTAAAAAATAGAAACTAGTGCTATACCTCACAATGTTATCATGAAGCTCCAAGGAGATGGTGTATGTAAAATGCTATGTAAATATCGGTTATGATTACAGTTTTAATATAGATTTACTTGTTGATGGAAGAAAAAGGGTTGGGTGGTTGGTCTAGGCTGGTCTGGCTACCATCACACCCAGTAGATGTGTACAATTTCACCTCCAACTGCAGAAGATCACTTAATCTTCCTGCTCACCCTTGACCAGGTTTTAAAACCGTAATAACCTGAAAGGCAGGAACCCACAGCCCTGGGCAGTGTCGAGTGGTCTCGGGAGCAGCCACTGCCAACCCCTCTGTATTCTTCTGATTTCTAAGCCAGGGATGCATCTGCTTCTTCTCAGAAGGATGTGTGGTGGAGGATGGGGAGGAGGGATAGAGTTCTGGCAACCAGGGTTTCTGTTCTTCATATATGTGGCCCTGCTGAGTAGGCCTTGCAGATAGATGCATTCAACTGCTTAGGATCGTAAGACTTTGAAACTTTAAATATCACACAAAAGTTGGAAGGGACCCCAGAGGTCCTCTGATTCAACTCATATCTGACCAAGAATCCACTCAACAGCATTCCTAGCAAGTTCATCCAAACTTTGAAAACCTTAAAGTGGCATAGTGGATTGAGCACTGGGCCTGGAGTCAGGAAGACCTAAGTTCAAGTTCAGCCTCAGCCATTTACTAGCTTTGTGACCCTGGGAAAGTCACTTAACCTCTATCTACCTCAGTTTTTTCAACTGTAAAATGATTACCTACCTCCCAGGATTGTTTTTGTGGGGATCTCATTTTTTGTAAAGTGCTTAAAATAGTGCCTGGCATTTAATAAATGTGTATTTCCTCCCCCCCCCCTTCCTTACCTGAAAAGGGAGTTCATTTAACTTTTGGAAACCTCCCACTGTGAAGACAGGCAGCTAGGTGGTGTAGTGGTTAGAATACCAGGCCTGAAGTCAGGAAGACCTGCATTCAAATCTGGCCTTAGACACTTACTATCTATATGACCCTGGGCAAGTCACTTAACCTTGTTTGCCTCATCTGTAAAATGACCTGGAGAAGGAAATGGCAAAGCACTCCAGTATCTTTGCCAAGAAAACCCCAAATGGGGTCACAATGAGTCAGACATCACTAAAACAAATGAACAGCAACAAAGTGAAGAAGTGGGGTTTTTTTTTCCTTACATAAAATCTGAATTCCACCCAAGCAGAATAAATCTATTCCTTTCATGTCACAGCCTTTCAGGGACTTGAAGACAGTTATCCTCATTTCACAGGGGAGGAAATGGAGGCTTAGAGAGTTAAATCAGTTGTCCAAGGTCACTAGTTAAAAAGTTAAAAAGATCATGAGCCCAAATTTTGGGAGACCCAAATCCAGTGTTCTTTCCACTGATTATTTCTCTTTGACAAAAAAAAAAAAGTAAAATCCTTCAAGACCTTTCTCTAAACATTCCATGGTCTTCACTTAGCTCATAAAAGGTATTTAAAGGTAACCCCGTCCAAACCTCCCATTTTACAGACAAAGGAACTTTAGCCCAAAGAGGCTAAGGGATTTATACCAGGCCCTACAGGGAGGAAGTGGCAGAGCCTGATTTTGGACCCAGGTCCTCCGACTCCAAAGCCATCCTTCTTTACCCTGGCAGCAAACTAGTACCCTATGGCAACAGACTTGTGTTTTGCCTTAAAACCCTGGATTAGGAATCAGAAGCTTTGGGTGCCAGTCCTAGCCTTACCTCTTACTCATGGTGTGCCTTTGCCCAAGTTATTTAACCACCTCAGGGATCATTCCCCTCAAATGAAGGAGTTGAAGGAGACCTCTAAGGACCTGGACACATGTCATTCTATAGCCTACATTCTAACATTTCCTTGTTCTTAAGTCTCTCCCATCTATATCATTCTAGAGCCTTAGGAGGCCCATAAGAAAGAAATTGTCCAAATTCCCAGAATACTAAGTCTTGGCCAACTATTTGAGTTCACCGTCTAACCCAAAGCCAGTCTGCCCTAAACTTCCCAGAAAGATTGTGTCCATACTGTATGGGCTCTCAGTGGTCAGCAAATGTACCAGCTGCCTGTCATTTTTTTCTTCCTTTTCCTACATTGCCTGGAGGACTCAATCTCATTTTGAACTTATGTACCAGTCACATTTAATTTCTTTATTCAGAGCAGCTTTTTAGTTATCCCAATGCATGAGTATTATTGTGTTCATTGGATCCAGCTAAAGCTTTCTCTCTCGGTTTCATTTTACAAGTTAAATACCCCCTATCCACCTCCTTTTCAGAATTTCAAGGTATAAACTCCCATAGCAGAGAAACAAAATTCACTTTAAAAAAAAAAAAAGCTTCTACTCCAAGAAAATTCTTTACAGCAGAACAATCAAAGCCTTTAAAAGTCAGGACTAGAAATACTGAAACTACCTTAGCTTCAAACACCCAAATGGCCCCAACATAATTGTGTTGTTCTTCACAAGCTATAGCTGCGGTTAGCTGTTCTACCTGCCAAGTCCCATATGATCAGAGCAGTAGCTCTCCCAGGGATAAGGTCTTCTTAAAAAGAACACTCAGAAACATCTGGGAAATATAGAAAATGGATGAACCTCACAGGAATGCTGTCCCCTAGCCTTGAACCTGTCAAAATTTGTACAATCCCTTCCCCTTCTCTTAGGATTTAGGATTAGAAAGGATCTCAGCAATTATCTAGTCTAACTAAGGAGTTGTCTAAAGAGGCTGATGTGAACATACAGGGATTGCATTGACCAACTTCAGTTTTTCAAAAGACAAGTGTTTTTTTTTTTCATTTCTTTTTGATACCTAATCAACTTACCCTTGTGGCTAAGTGATATGGCATACTCAGCCCATTTTCCACAGCTGATAGATACACTGAGGGGTTAGTCACTGGGAACTCCAGAACAAAAGTTTAGTTTATTGACTGTGTGCTTTCAGCCTTTTATCCTCCTAGGATAATGCAAACAATCCATCAGCCAGTATTTATTAAGCAAATACTATGTTATGCTCACTGTACTAGATCTTGGGATATGAAGCAAAATTGGCACATTCCTTGTCTTCTCAGTTGTCTTTGTCATTTTGCAAGGCCCTGCCATGTGCTAAGAGAAACTGAAAGCAAAGTCCATCTACACGCAGAAATCCACTTGTCTTAGACCCATCCAAGTCTTTCTCCTTGCCACTGTCCTCTAGATATTTCCCTGTACTTCCCCAGCTGCTCAGTACTCATCCCTTAACCTATGACACATTTGCCAACTGACTTTTCAGTCAAAATTTCAGTTAAAATGTTCCATAATTTCCCAAAGTTCCGTTGGCTGAGCACTTACCTTAAAACTACCTCTTCCAAACTCCCGGGGGAGGGAGGCAGCCCCTTAGTTGAAGTATTTTGGGGATTTAGTGTAAAGCACAAATTTATATCTCTTTCTTTCCATATTTTCTGTCTATACCCTTTGCAATTTTAGCAAGTTAGATGTACCCTTAATGGCACTTAATTTAATTTTACCAAGGTCTTGTTTTTGCTCTTCAGGCAGTAGCTTGGAAATGTACAGTCTATCAGCTAGGGCAGCTGTCCTGCTTTTCAAGGAAAGAGACAGCATTTGGTGGCTTCTCACTTTGGAATTTGAGATGTAACTATTTTGCAACTGAAATTTAAGGCCAGAGTCCCAGGATGAGCCATGGCCTTGGGTACAGTGATGGGGGAAGGGGGGAAAGGAAGGAAAGAATTGTTTTTGTTGCTTGTGGAAACCTTTAAAACATAGACCTCTCTTTGGATACAGTCCGTGTGCTTATTCCGGCTTTTCCTAGTGGAAGGCTCTAGAGCAGTGCTCCTCAGACTTCTTGAATCTGAGTCAAAAGAGGAATTTTTCTCTTCAGAGGCAGAACCATTTTGTTTCCTTTATTTCTTATTTTTATAGAGAAAACGAAAGGAGGATTCAGTGTACTTACCATATCCAAAAGTTCCTCCTCTTCCTCTTCCTTCTCTCTCTTCTTTTCCTGCTTTATCTCTCTCCTTTTTTTCTTCCTCCTCCTCAATTGTATCTTCAGAGATCCATGATTTCATGGGTTGGTGCTTTCTCTGTGGATGGAGAAGAGATCACAACCCCTCTGCACTTCAGCAGACAAGCGAAGTTTCCCTGCATTTGCCTCTTGCTGTGTATGGATGTTCCTGTGCGTGCGTGTGTGTGTGTATGTATTCATATACATAGCATGCTTTGTCTCTTCAGCATCTTTATGTCCCATATAAGTACGAGATGGAATCTTAGGAAATGAGTCAGTTCTATGGTCCATTAGCCCTTTTTTATACTTTGGGGACCCTTGTATTTTTAGAAACACCCCATTATAAAATGGGACCTATTTCTAGTGATATAATAGATTAAGTAAAGTGTCCTTATTAAAAGTATCTCTAGTTTGCTAAATGGAGAGAGCTTTTCATAAAGGGGACGTTTTGGTCGCCTTCTATTATACCTCAACATTCCCGGCACCCCTTCTCTCCGAACCTCTGCTACCTTTTAACCACCTTATTTTCATTCCAAGGATCTTTCAGGTATGCACAGGGACCACAGTCAAGTTTGTGATATCATTTATGATTTTTAAAATCTATTGATAACAAAATAAGCTTTCTGTTAAGACAGGAATGTTAGAACTAAATAACTTTCTCAACACAGTGTATGTTTAGAGTATGAGACACTTGAATGGAGTCTTGATCTTATCAGTGTGGGTCTTCCCTCCACCATTGTAGATCACAACCCGTCCATGTTCCATCCTGTACAACTGTTTGTCTTTCCATAAGTGCTCCATTAAGGACGTACCCAACTACTCTTGAACATTTTCTCTGAACTTTTTAATGTTTTGTGAGTACTAGTGTACTGCCCTTGGACCGTCCATCCGTGATCCATCCCTCTGACTGTGAGGCTAGCCTACCTCCTTTTTTTGTTCATACATGCCCCAACTATGGCTTTTATGCCACTTCTAGGGCACAAGTCATCATTAGTAACACTCTGTGGCTTGCTTATAGGATCATTTGAGGATTAGAATTTGAAAGTGACCTTCAGAATCATGTAGTCCAGTTCTAAAATTTACAAGCTTAACTGAGGGCCAAAGAAGAAAATTAACTTGTGCAGGGTCATACTTAGTAAGTGGCAGAGCCAGGAGTCAAACCCATACCTCCAACTTCAAATTTTCCATGTGTATTACCATGATTTATTTAAAGTACAATATTGACTTGGCTAAAGACCATCTGCTCAACACAGGGTAACATGGACCACTATATTTTCTTATCAAAACTGTAAATTGTGTTTTTTTAAAGTCATATCACATCTTAAACGTTTTCCTTTCTATCATATTTCATTCATGCTATACCATTAAGGACTTGGGGGTGGGAGGGGGACTCAGGGGGTTTATTTTTTGCTTGTTATTTTTGTAAACTGATGCCTGCTTTTGTGTTTGGAAATAAAATATACATATATTTTGATCTATGAAACTATTTTGGGGGTACTTTTTTTTCTCCAAAGTAGGCCTGCTACTTTAGAACCCAGAAATTCCCTTTGCTACTTGTACAGAAGAATAATTATAATTCCCATAGCACTTGGCAGTTTACAAATCCCTTTCCTCACAACAACCTTTGGATATAGGCATTTTTAATCCTCATATTACATATGGAGAAACTGAGTAAAATGGATAATGTAACATTACTCAGTCAGTGGAAGAGCTGAGACCCAAGGCCAGATTTTCTGATCCCTAAGCCTAATATTGCCTCTATTATATCATGCTGCTTCCCCAGAGTGGAGAGAAGATAGGAAGACAAAAATCTGAACATCAAAAAATTTGCCTTCCAAATTGAGAAATATGCAAATATGTAATTGTCCCATTTATTCAGGTTTTGTCATCTGGAAAAGGTCCCTGCCTCTTTTTCTTGTTGTTGTTGTTTTCCCCTCAAACCTTCTCCCTTGGAGTTCAAGAGTGGAATGCAATAAGGTAAGAGGAAAAGGATTCCCCTCCTCCTCCTTGCCCCCTATCATAAAATGGCAACTTTCAGGAGAAGTGTAGGTTGCGCAGCCAGCTTGGGCTTGCTGGAGAGCCTAAGTTGGGACTTCCTGGACCTTATAGTCCTCCTGCTTTTATGTTCTTACATGAGCACAGATCCACAGCTAGAGATCCTGAAAATGAATCATAGCCTCTGGAGTTCCTTTGTTGGTAATCCTAAGTGTGAGATTGCCCAAGTTCTAGAGGTTATAAGAGATTGAATTCCTGAGTTTAAGAACTAAGCACTGTAAAATAGAAATCTTGAAAATCAAAGGAGAGATTTATAAAATAGAAAGTCAAAACAAAACAATAAAACAACAACAACAACAAAACATTGATGTAATAAATAAAACAAGGACCTGGTTTTAGGAGGGGGAAAAAGCCAGTAAGAAAGATAAAATATTGTTTAATTTGATTTTTTTAAAGGAAAAAACTCAAAATTACTAGTATCAGAAAGTAAAAGAGTGAATACACAACCAACGAAAATAAAGTTAAAGCAATTATTAGGAGCTATTTTGCCCAACTATGTGCCAATAAAACTGACAATTAAATGACAATTAAATGAATATCTACAAAAATATAGGTTGCCCAGATTAACAGAAGAGGAAGTAGAAGACTTTAAAAAACTTGTCTTAGAAAAAGAAATTGAACAAGCCATAAATGAGCTTCCTAAGGAAATAATACCCAGGACTAGATGGATTCATTGAATGAATTCTACCAAACATTTAAAGAACAATTAATAACAATACTATATAAACTATTTGAAAAAAAAGTACAGAAGGAATCCCAGCAAATTCCTTCTATGAAAAATATGATTTTGATACCTAAACCAGGAAGTCCACCAACAGAAAAAAAAACACTATAGAACAATTTCCTTCATGAATATCAGTGCAAAAATTTTAAATAAAATGCAAGCAAGGAGATTGATTACAGCACTCTATCACAAAGATCATACACTATGACCAGGTGGGATTTATACCAGAAATGAAGGTCTAGTGGTTCAATATTAGGAAAATTAAAAGCATAACTGATCATTTCAATAATAAAAACAAGACAAATCATGATTATATCAATAAATGCAGAAAAAGCTTTTGACAAAATGCAACACCTATTCCTATTAAAAATACTAGAAAGCATAGTAATAAATGCAACTTTTCTTAAAATGGCAAGTAATATATAAAATCCAACACAAGCATTATGTGAATGGGATAAACTAGAAGGCTTTCCAGTAAGAACAGGAGTGAAGCAAAGATGTTCATTATCAACATTATAATTTAATATTGTACTAGAAATACTAGTTATATGTTAATAAGACAAGAAACAGAAATTGGAGGAGTAAGAATAGGCAACAGGAAAACAAAATTACCCCTTTCTGTAGATGATATGATGTTATACTTAGAGAACCCTAGAGAGTCAACTGAAAAACTGGTCAAAACAATTAACAACTCTAGCAAAGTTGCAGGATATAAAACAAACCCACATAAATCATTAGCATTTCTATTTATTACCAACAAAACCCAGCAGGAAGAGGAAGAAAGAGAAATTCCATTTAAAATAACTGAAAACAGTATAAAACTACTACTTGAAAGTCTACTTGCCAAGACACACACATATGAACACAATTACAAAATAATTTTCACTCAAAGACTGACCTAAACAATTGGAGAAATATTAATTGCTCATAGGCAGGCCAAGCCAATATAATAAAAAATGACAATTCTACCTGAACTTACTCATTCAATGTCATACCAATCAAACTATAAAGAATTATTTTATAGAGGCAGAAAAATAATATCAAAATTCATCTGAAGGGGAAAAAAAAGATCAAGAATATCAAGGGAATCAATTTTTTTTTTAAGAAAAGTAAAGGAGGCAGCCTAACAGTACCAGATCTCAGACTGTACTACAAAGCAGTATTCATCAAAGGAATATGGTTCTGGATAGGAAATAAAATGGTTAATCAAAGGAACGAATTGGGTACACAATTTATAGAAGTAAATAACCACCGTAACCGAGTGTTTGATAAACCTAAAGATCCAAGCTATTGGAAACACAAACTCACTATTCAACAAAAACTGATGTGAAAACTGTATAGCAGCCTGGAACAAAACTAGAAATAGATCAACTTCTCACATCATATACTTAGATAAGTTCAAAATGGGTACATGATTTAGACATAAAAGGTGATATCATAAGCAAATTAGGAGAACATGGAAAAAATAACCTGTGAGATCTATGGATAAGGGAAATTTCGTGACCAAACAAGAAATAGAAAGGATCATGGTGGGGGGATGGGGGTGGGGTTAAAATGGATAATTTAATTGCACTAAATTTAAAAGGTTTTGCAAAAACAAAGCCAATGCAGCCAAAATTAGAAAGAAAGCAGGAAACTGGGGCTGGGGAGTTTACAGCAAGATTTTCTGATAAAGATCTCACCTATCAAGTATATAGGGAACAGAGCCAAATTTATAAAAATAAGAGCCATTCCCCAGTTGATAAAACAGTCAAAAGATATGAACAGGCAGCTCTCAGAAGAAGAAATCAAAGCTATCAATAATCATATGAAAAATGCTCTAGATCATTAATAATTAGAGAAATGCAAATTAAAACAGCTGAGGTATCACCTCACACCTATGTTAAAATGATAGAAAAGAAAAATGACAAATATTCTGCAGGAGATGCAGAAAAATTGGGATACTAATACACTGTTGGAGCTATGAACTGGTCCAACCTTCTGGAGAACAATTTGGAACTATGCCCAAAAGATTATAAAACTGTGTACTTGACTTAGCAACACAGCTACTGGGTCTATACCCCAAAGAGATCAAAGAAAAAAAAGAAAAGATCTATGTGTACAAAAACATTTATAGCAGCTCTTTTTGTGGTGAAAAAGAATTGGAAATTGAGAGGATGCCCATCACAAATGGCTGAACAAGTTGTGGTACATGATTGTGATGAAATATTATTGTGTTATAAGAAATGATAAGGGGGATGGTTTTTAAAAAGCCTGGGAAGACTTATATGAACTGATGCAAAGTGAAGTGAGTAGAACTA